AGAAGTTTTTATGCACCGACATTGGAAACAGCCAAATTATTGTGAAGTGAATAAAGCAAAGTACAGAATGGTGTGTACTTTTTCATGCAAGAAAAAAAGAAAATAATAATATTCACATCTTCTTCTATTTCCATATAAAAACACTGGAAGGATACACAACAAACTGAGAAGTAATCTGCAAAAGATGGAGGGAGGAGAGAGATGAGGTCACAGGTGGGATTAAGACTTTTCACTGTATACTTTTTGATTCTTTTGAAATATATACCAAGTGTATGTAATGCCTGCTAACAAAATAGAATATTTCTTATTCAACAACCACTTGGGAAAGAATTTCTTAAAAAGTTAAACATATGGCTGGGCGTGGTAGTTCATGCCTGTTATCCTAGCACTCTGGAAGGCGGAGGCTGGAGGATCGTTTGAGCTCAGGAGTTCGAGACCAGCCTGAGTAAAAGCGAGACCCTGTCTCTACTAAAAAAAATAGAAAGAAATTAGCTGGACAACTAAATATATATGTGCCCGGCTAAATTTTATATATATGCCCTTTTAAAAGACCAATACAATTGATAAACCTCTCTAGTCAAGCTAACCAAGAAAAAAAGAGAGAAGACATAAATTGCCAATATCTGAAATGACAGAAGGGTCACCACTACTGATACCACAGACATCAAAAGGACGATAAAGGAATATTGCGAACAACACTACAGCTACACATTTGATCGCTTAGATGAAATGGACCAATTCCCTGAAAGACACAAACTACCAAAGCTCAAACATACAAGGCCTGCAATAATACAAAATAGGAAAGCAAGACAGCTTCCAACCTCAGCTCACGGTGCCCACATTAGCTAGGGAGAAAGAGATGGTAACAAGATGTGACAGGTAGTAAGAGGTACACAAGGGCCAACAGGGAAGGCTTCAGAGACTAAGTACGTCTAACATAGATGGGAAAGGACAATTCTAATAGGACCTCACAGGGCTACCTCAAAATCAACAAGTCCACAGCTGCTATGGACTGAATTGGGTACCCCCCAAATTTATATGCTGAAATCTTAAACCCCAGGACCCCAGAATGTCACTGTTTTTGGAAACAGGGCCTTTAAAAAGGTAATTAAGTTCAAATGAAGTCATTAGGGTGAGCCCTAATCCAGTACAAGTGATGTCCTTATAAGAAGAGGGGAGGAGGACACAGACACAAGGCAGTGAGCACTTCTGCGCAGAGCGCCCCCATGTGGATAGGCAGCCAGAGGACCCTGTCTGCAAGCCCTGGAGAGAGGCCAGAGGAAAACAAGGCTCTCAGCACTTTGACCTTGGACTTCCATCCTCGAGAACTGTGAGAAAATAAATGTCTGCTGTTTAACACATTAACTGCCATGAGAGTTGCATTTAACTTCCTCTAGTTTTGACCCCAGGGCTCCATGAAGCATAAGCAAAATCTTACTTGTTGATGTTCTTATTGTTACATTTAATATGGACAATTTAATGCTAAAAATGTGGATTAAATGAATAGAAGTCAATAACTTTCATATTTCTACTTACGTTTACCTTTAAATTACACTCAAAGTTTTTATTCTATTTTCGCAATAAAACACTGTGGTCCCATGGAAGAGTTTCTGATTTTTTTGCGTGGCCATCAATGTGTTAAGCCACCCAGGTTGTAGTGTTTTGTTATGGCAGCCCTAGCAGGCTAATATAACAGCTGAACTTAAGATCTTTCTCTCCAAAAGCCATACTTTCCCACAACCCACCATCCATCCTGAAGGTCAGCCAGAAACGTCAGCCTCACACCCCACATTCAATTCTGCACCAGGACCTGTCCATTTCACTTCCCAGCTCTCTCATTCTCTCATAGTCACCATTTCTTGTCTGCATGACCTATAAAAACCTCTTCAATGGTCTCGAGACTCTGGCCATCCCCCAGTCACTCTCCCGCTGCACCAAAAGAGATCTTTTCAAAACACAAATACAACCTATCACACCTCATCTTTACTCCTTATGGCTCTTCAATGGCTGACTACAGCTTTTAGAACCAAAACAAACTCTGTACCATGGCCTGTAGGGCTCTGCCCAGCTTTCTCTCCTCTCTGCTCTCAAGAAACATTGGCTATCTTTAATTCCATCAATGAACTGTGCTCTTTCTTGACACAGGGCCTTTGCATACACTGTTCCTTCTGCCTGGGATGCTCTTCCATCACTGGGCTAACTTCACTCACTCAGATCTCAGCTGGAGCACTACTTCCTTAGGGACCCTCCTGGACTCCTCCGCCCAAGTCTGGGTGGCACTTGGCGAAGTAAGTTCCTTTCCTTCAGAGGCCTTCTTGGAGTTTATAACCAAATACTCTTCTTGATATTCTTTGATTGACATCAGCCTCCCTACTCAATGGGAAGCTCTGGGAGAGCAAGGACCATTTCTCTTTCCGGTACACCATCAATCCCAGGGCCCTGCACAACGCTCGGCACACAGTGGTCTCAACTAATACTTACTGCATGCATGAACGAATGCATGCATGCGACTGGGAAGGAATGGGGGAGACGGCACTCCAGGTTTGGAAAAAAGATGCTGGGAGGTCTAACACAACCACCACTCCTATAGTTTGGTGAAGCCAAAACAGTGCGGTCTATGAATGCAAAAGGTTGTGGGGAGGTCCCCAAACCACCACCTCCCCACAAACACACATGCACACATGGTACCTACCCAAATTCTGGAAGGTCTCTGTCAAAATGCACACTGTCTTCATAAAAGACATTCAGGTCTGCATCGACAGCAACAACTTTCACCTGGAAGGCATTTTAAAGAACAGAATTTTTCTCAGCTTCTATACTGGTCCAGGGGTACTGCCATCACCAGGTGAGGCCCTAGCCGTGGTTCAGTCTAGAGATCTCCTTTAAGGCAGGGATGTGTCACGGTAATCGTAGCAACAGAGGCTTTATCTGGGAATATACGCGAAGATTTGGTAAAATAAAGAAACAGGCTGAGCGGAAAGACCCACCAATCGCAAGGAGTCTGGGCTTCCCAAGCAGAGCCGAGACCCGCTAGAGGGAGACGTTCACAGATGAGAAGTGCTAGCGCCCGCATGTGACACGGGGGCCTGCGAAAGTTCCAGAGGGGAAGGAATGGGAAGCAAAGTTGGGCCAGGTCTCTGGGGTCCCTGTCTGCTGGGGTCTGAGACGCCAGGCAATGTTCCCCCAGGCCATGATCGCCCCCCAGAGGCACCATATCCCACGGAAGCAGGTCTCCAAGCTCAGGAGCATAACTCCTTTCCTGGACAGTTGGGAAAACAGGCCTAGCAAGGCAACTCCGCTCCTCCGCATGCCCCCAGGACTTTCCCTTCAGGGAGCTGCCTCCTTTGACCCATTTGAGGAGGGAGTTTGGCCGCAACTGTGTATATTTCCCAAGTAATTTTAAGAAGGAGCCTCTGGGACCGGGTGCGGTGGCTCACACCTATATTCCTAGCACTCTGGGAGGTGGGCGGATTGCTCGAGGTCAGGAGTCCGAAACCAGCCTGAGCAAGAGTGAGACTCGTCTCTACTATAAATAGAAAGAAATTAATTGGCCAACTAATACATATAGAAAAAATTAGCCGAGCATGGTGGCGCATGCCTGTAGTCCCAGCTACTCGGGAGGCTGAGGCAGGAGGATTGCTTGAGCCTAGGAGATTGAGGGTGCTGTGAGCTAGGCTGGCGCCATGGCACTCACTCTAGCCTGGGCAACAAAGCGAGACTCTGTCTCAAAAAAATAAAATAAAAAATAAGAAGGAGCCTCTGGCCAGTTTGAAGGCAAATTTTGATTCTGCTCGCCCTGTCTTCAGGGGACCTGGGGGTGGCACAGACCTCCTCTGGCCAGCAGTCCCGTGTCTGCAGACCAGGGCACACTGGTGCCAGCCAAGGTAGGTCACAGGGAAGGGCGAAGTCCATCTGTACACTGTACCCATTTCACTTTTGAAAACAATGTTTCAGGCCAGGCACGTGGCTCAGGCCTGTAATCCTAGCACTCTGGGAGGCCGAGGCAGGTGCATCGTTTAAGCTCAGGAGTTCCAGACCAGCCTGGGCAAGAGCGAGACCCCCATCTCTACTAAAAATAGAAAGAAATTAATTGGCCAACTAAAAACATATAGAAAAAATTAGCCGGGCATGGTGGTGCATGCCTGTAGTCCCAGCTACTCCGGAGGCTGAGGCAGGAGGATCGCTTGAGGCCAGGAATTTGAGGTTGCTGTGGGCTAGGCTGATGCCACGGAACTCACTCTAGCCTGAGCAACAAAGCGAGACTCTGTCTCAAAAAAAAAAAAAAAAAAAAAGAAAGAAAGAAAACAATGTTTCAGGCAGTTATTTGGTTCCAGGTCACCGGTGATGCATGTGCACACGTCTACCTGTTGCCCTGCTACACGTCTGTGCTCCTGCTTTACAGCAGCTGAGCTCCTTAGGGTCCCTGTCACTCAGTGCCCATGACAGTGCACGAACAGTGACAGTGCACGAACCCGCCAGGTCCTCCGGCCCCTCTGGGCCCCCGGGGTCCCGCCCGGGGACGCCTGCCACTTCCGGAAGGGCCGGGGTCCAGGCGGGCGGAGGTCGCATCCTGCGGGCGGGCGGCACTAGCAGGGCATCGCCGAGCGACGCACCCGGAGCCCGGGGAAGCCCGAGCCGAGGCGCGCCCGCGGCGGGGCCCAGGGTTCCGGGCGCGGGTGCCAGCCCGCCCGGCGGCGCGGAGGAGGCGGCCCCACCCGCGGCCCCGCGGCGGTACCTGCTGCGTGCTGAAGTCCCAGCCCAGGCAGCAGCGGCGGGCGGCGCGCTCGGCCATGGCCCTGGAGGGTCAGGCTGCGCGTCCGTCCGTCCGTCCGTCCGTCTGTCCGTCCCGCGGCGTGTCTGTCGCGGCGCCCAACGCGCGGAGACGCAGGGGCCCGCCCCTCGCTCCGCCCGACCGGACTCTGGACCCGAGTCACGAGGCGGCCTTGCGCTCTGGCGCCGCCTGCTGGGGGACCGGAGCGGGGACCGCCGCCGGCCTCGCCCGGGCCTCGGCTTCTCACCTGCGCAGCGAACGGTTGCCCAGCGCAGCCGGCTTCCCTGCGGAGCCCGCCCCTCCGCGCCTCCGCGTCCTCACCTTCTCCGCGTCCTCACCTGCAACCTCACGCTGCAACCGCCTTGCCCTGACGCGGCTTGGCTTCCCTCGGAGCACACCTGGGCCAGAAGTTTCAACTGTAAGCCGGCTTGTTCTTGCCTGTCCCTCTGGTGGCCCTGCACCTGGAGTCCCCCTTGGCTGTTTCTTGCGTCCTGGAGCAGCTGTTCCCCCCACAGGGTGGTGACTCAGGGGTCACAGGTCACAGTGCCTGGGGGTTGGAGGCATCGGGCTCTGACATACCCTGTCCAGACCCAGCAAATCTGAGTGGCTCAGGCCTGGCGTGTCACAGACCACGCCTGTATTTAAAATCAGAGGTCCTGATGCCCACATGCAGGAGCTCATTCGTTCCTGCAGCCAGCTGGTATTCATGGTATTCACCTTCTCCTCCCCTCATCCCTCCTGGCTGGCTGCATCTTCTTGTCCCTAGGGCTGACTTCTTTCCAGAAGTCCTCCCCAACACCTATGTGAGAGGCTTCTGCTAGGAGCATACTAGCTCTCCAGAGCCTTCTCTCACGCCTGCAACTGTCTGAGGACCTGTCTCTCTCCTTTGCTGAACTTGAACTGCTTAGAGCCCAGGTGGGATCCTCCTCATTGCTAGAACAGTAAGGTGACAAAGGGCCTGTCTTCCAAGTTGTTCACAGATTAATGGGGACACAGTCACCGCCTGTGACAATAGCCAAATGCTGGCTACCAGGTCAGGAGCAATTATGTAACCTGCTGAGTACATTTTAATCTTCACAATGATGCTGGGAGGTAGGTACTATTATCTCTATTTTTAAAAACTTTTCGATTAAGGTATAAAATACAGTAAAGTTTATAAAGTACACTGATCTTAAGTGCTTGATGGATTTTAAAACTGTGTCTATACACCCATATAGACACCACTGGGACCAAGACATAGAACATTTCCACCACTCCAGAAGTTTCCTTGATGACCCTTCCCCATCAATAGCCCTCAAGGTAATCACTATTCTGATATCTACCTACCAATATAGATTCACTTTGAACTTTGTATAAATCATCATACTCATTTTGTAGAATGATAAACTGAGCCATAAAGAAGTTAATGAACGTGGCCCAAGGTCCCCAAATCGGTGGCAGAGCTAAGCCCAAAGCCATGAAGTTGTAGCCATGAACTACAAAATCCATGTTTAACCACTAAATAAGACAATTATGATAGAGTGAATTAGTGGGCAGCCTTGTGTGAAGGCCTATGGCAATATATGAACGTCTCCTGAAGGCCAAGGCCACTGGCTTTCCAGAGCTGCCTCACAGGGAGGCCTTGTCTTGTTCAGGGGTGCTTTTCCCTATGGGCTGTGCACCTATCCCAGCCTGGTAAGTCATCCTCTCTTTTGTTTTTTTGTTTTTTTTTTTGAGACAGAGTCTCACTTTCTTGCCTGGGCTAGAGTACCATGGTGTCAGCCTAGCTCACAGCATCCTCAAACTCCTGGGCTCAAGCGATCCTCCTGCCTCAGCTTCCTGGGTAGCTGGGACTACAGGCATGCACCACCATGCCCGGCTAATTTTTTTCTATTTTTAGTTGTTTGGCTAATTTCTTTCTATTTATAGTAGAGACGGGGTCTCACTCTTGCTCAGGCTGGTCTTGAACTCCTAAGCTCAAGTAATCCTCCCACCTCGGCCTCCCAGAGTACTAGGATTACAGCCAGCCCATCCCTTTTTTTTTTTTTATTTCAGGAAAATATAAGAGTACAAACAGTGAGTTAGCACTGCTTATATTATCCATCCTCTCTTTTGATCCCACTGTGGCCACAGGGAAGACTGGAAGGCTGAGAGTGCATTTGCCTATGTAAGGAGACTGCTGATCTGATCTGTTATCAAGGGATGAAGACAGATCTCTTCATTCCAAGTTACCACTGCCAGTCCAGTTGTCCTCCCTGTGGATGCCCTTAAAGGGCGTACCCAGTAGTAGAGGGGTTTCGGGGAAACCCTCAGGCAGTGCTGCTTGGCTGGAATCCCCATGGCCTGGGGTGGGGTCTTCGGCTTATCATACTCCTAGCCAGCTCCATGCACAGGACCTATTAAGGACCCCTTGCACTGACTTGGTTACAAAACGGAAACTGCCTGGAGGTGGCTCTTCTCAGTGGCCAGGTTGTCTACAGTCCCCAGCCTGGCTTTTTCCCTCATCGAGACCCCTGATAGCCCAACCTGAGGGCGAAGTTGATCTACCAAAGGGAAGTCCTTGATCAGATTTGCAGATTAGGAAGATCACTCGGGATGCTGTGTGGAGGATGGGGAGATGGGGACAACTAGGAGGAAGGGGAAATTCTCAGTTCTCCCTGGCGCTGCAGGCCTGGGCTGAGGCGGGAGTGCTGAGGAGGGAGAGGAGGTGGATTCTGGATCCACCTCCTCCAGATATAGGAAGCTCTGGGCACACCATGCCCAGTGTGAAGGCTGGGAGGAGTCAAAGGGAGTGTCCAGGTTTCTGGTTTAGGAGAGCAGGCTGGGTAACTGTTGCTGCATAACAAATCACCCTCCAACTTGGTGGCTTCAAACAGAGATCTTTTATTGTCCGTCGCATTCAGCAGACCCAGGCTCTGCTCCATGTGTCACTCATCCTTCTTTTGGAACCAGCGGGGTGTCCAGGGCATGCTCTTCTCATGGCAGAGCAGAAGAGGACTCTGAAGGCTGGGCTCGGAACTGGCATGCCGCATTTCCGCCTCTGTGCTCTGGCCAAGTACGTCCTGTGGCCAGCCCAGCGCCACCTGGTGGGATGAGGCCATGGCCAGGGTGTGGGTGCAAGGAGGGGTAAGGAAAACAATGCAGTCTATTATAGGCTACCACCAGAAGGGGAGGGGCTCCATCTTCTTAGGAGACATGGGGAAGAAGCAGACTGGGAGAGATGGTGAGTTTAGTCAGGACATGGTAGGTTTGGGGTCCCTGTGGGATATCTGAGTGGAGATGTGACCAGGCTGTTGGATATGTAGCCTCCAGCTCAGGAAAGAGGTCTAGGCTGAAAACAATGGTTTGGGAGTGTTAAATCAAGTGTCTAGGAGGCCGTTGGTTTGGACTGAGATCCTTGCATGGGCCCAGCGGGCCAAACCAAAATGGCGTCACTCATGCTGAAGTTCCACACCACTATGACGATGAAACTAAGTGGTATACCTGACCTTGTGAGAAATGGGAAGAAAGACAGATAATAGCTAAATCCCCAAACAGGCCAGTTTTAGCTGGCATGATAAGGAAGCCCTCTGTGCTTTAATCTTTACAATGAAAGTGACTTTGAAACAACCAATCTGTTTTTCTGTTTCTGTTTCTGCTTTCCTCTGCTCTTTTCTGTCCAAAAAACCAACCTCCTCTGCTCAGCTCACCAGAACACTCATTCTATTGTACAGAATGAGATGTTGCCCAATTCTAGAATCACACACAAAATCCAATTAAGACTTTTAAGCTAAAATGTGTTATAATTTTGTCTTTTTTTTTTTTTTTTTGAGAGAGAGTCTCGCTTTGTTGCCCAGGCTAGAGTGAGTGCCGTGGCGTCAGCCTAGCTCACAGAAACCTCAATCTCCTGGGCTCAAGCAATCCTCCTGCCTCAGCCTCCCGAGTAGCTGGGACTACAGGCATGCACCACCATGCCCGGCTAATTTTATATATATATATCAATTGGCCAATTAATTTCTTTCTATTTATAGTAGAGACGGGGTCTCGCTCTTGCTCAGGCTGGTTTTGAACTCCTGACCTTGAGCAATCCACCCGCCTCGGCCTCCCAAGAGCTAGGATTACAGGCGTGAGCCACAGCGCCCGGCCTAATTTTGTCTTTTGACAGGTGTTTTCAGCTGCCAATGGGATGGGTTAGATTGTGGAGAAAGGGCTCAGTGTGGGACGGTTGGAGAGCCCAGGGGAGGCTGTGAGGGACAAGTCAAAGACATGGGAAGAGTCCAAGAGGGAGGCATGTGGTGGAAGCCACTAGAGCCTTCCCAAGAGGTGGGGCTTTTGACAGGGTCAAATGCTGCCTAGAAACCCATCCCTCAGAGAAGGAGCGGATTTAGCAGCGAAGATGGCGGATTCATATCACAGAAGCCTCAGCAAGAGCAGGCTGAGTGGAGCCCAGTGGGCCCCACTGGGTGTCTCAGTCAGCTTGCACTGCTCTAACAAAATACCATATATTGGTGGCTCAAACAACGTTTATTTTTCACAGTTCTAGAGGCTGGAAATTTTAAGATCGAGGTGCTGGTGGATTTGGGTCCTGGTGAAGGCTCCTTTCCTGGCTGGTAGACAGCTGCCTTCTCACTGTGTGCCCGCGTGGTCTTTTGTTGGTGTGTGAACACGGGAAGAGGGAAGACTCATCTATTACTCTTCTTAAAAGGGCACGAATCCCATCATGATGGCCCCACCCCCCCAAGCTAATCTAAATCTTATTAGCTCCCAAAGGCCCTATCTCCTGATGCAATCGCTTTGGGGGTTAGGGCATCAGTGGATTTTGGAGCGACACAAACATTCAGCCCCAAACAACTTAAGTATTTTTTGAATTAAACACTGCTTTGAAGATTTATTCATATTGCTATGTAGATATCTAATCCTGTGCACTTCCAAGTTGCTCTTGGAAGCTGCAGGGAACCTGTAGGGCTGCTGTGAGATATTACTTTTTAGGGAAACATAGTGATACTTAACATCTGTCAGGCACCATGGGAACTAGTAACTTGAGGAAGTTTGCAGTTCTAGCTACATTCCTTTGATAACATCATATCTTTGTGAAGCTGTATTCTCAGCAGTGGCAGTGACAAGCAAGTGTACTGCATGAAAATCAAGGTGAAATAGAAAATAAGGGCACAATGTTCAATTTGACCCCAACATTTGTGAAGTTGTGCAGTGCCCAGCAGGCACACACATCCCCTCAGTAAATAATTCTGGTTATGTTAAGAATGGGGCCAGGTGCAGTGGCTCACGCCTGTAATCCTAGCACTTTGGGAGGCTGAGGTGTGAGGATTGTTTGAGGCCGGGAGTTCGAGACTAGCCTGAGCAAAAGAGAGACCTCATCTCTACAAAAAAATAGAAAAATTAGCCAGGCGTGGTGGCTCATGCCTGTAGTCCCAGCTACTCAGGAGGCTGAGGCAGGAGATCACTGGAGCCCAGGAGTTTGAGGTTGCTGTGAGCTATGATGAGCACTGAACTCTAGCCCTGGATTTAGAGGAAGGCCCTATCTCAAAAAATATTTTTAAAAAAGATAAAAATAAGAAAAAAAGAAATGAAATATTATTTTCTCCTCCAAATTATGTGCATTGTTTTCTTCAAACAGGTACTAAGTTATTAGGACATAAATACATATTAGCTGTTTGGACCTAACCGATCATGAACAGAACAAAGTGGCTAACCACACTGTTAGCTGTTTCTTTTGGCTTAGGAGCACTGTGAAAAGATTATTGAGACTCTTTTTTTTTTTTTCAAATAGAGATGGGATCTCACTATTGCTCAGGCTGGTCTTGAACTCTTGACCTCAAGATATCCTCCCACCTTGGTCTCCCGGAGTGCTAGGATTATAGGCGTGAGCCATTGTGCCAAGTGGATTCTTAGGACTCTAAAGGTGCTGTGAAGTGAGGAAATTTGGGAACCTCTGGTCTAGTTGGTTCAGATATGATAGCTGACACCACATTTTTCTATTCTGGTTCCCAGTAAGTGACACCTGGGTGGATTCTTGTTCAATACAAACAGTGCTGCATGGTGCGTCCTCTTCCACAGGCCCTATGGACCTGTGTGAGAGAATGTTTCTAGACCACCTGAGAGCAGGATTTGTACTTCGTGTGCACAGCCGATTTGACCAGACAGTGCTGGACTGCTCCTGAGGATGGCTGTGTCCGTCAAGGTGCCTACCTAGAAGGCACAAGGTCACTTCTATCCCCACATCCCATGCATGGTACTTGGCATTTCCATCCTTCTGTGAGGAGTGATTTCTCATTATTGTTTTTCATTTATTTATTTATTTGAGACAGAGTCTCACTCTGTTGCCTGGACTACAGGGCCGTGGTGTCAGCCCAGCTCAAAGCAACCTCAAACTCTTG